CTCTCCCTCCCTCTCCCCCCTCTCTCTCCCTCCTCTCTCCCCCTCTCTCCCTCTCTCTCCCCCTCTCTCCCCCTCTCTCCCTCTCTCTCCCCCTCTCTCCCTCCCCCCTCCCTCTCTCCCTCCCCTCCCTCTCTCCCTCCCCCCCCTCTCTCCCTCCCCTCCCTCTCTCCCTCCCCCCCCTCTCTCCCTCCCCTCCCTTCCTCTCTCTCATATCACCCCCGATCCCCCTTTCACCCCATATCTCCATTTCCCATCACCCCCTATGTCCCCATCTCGTCACCCATCTCCCACTCCCCATCACCCTTGCCCCTATCTCCCCCCCTCCCCCTCATCACCCTCCCACCCTAATCATCCAGTCCTCCCTCCACTAGTGACTGCGTATATATGCACCCCCACCTCCCTCCCTCCCTCACACACACACAGCTGTTCCCACTCTACATGTTCATTCTCTCTCAAGCTCAAATGTTTTCCGCTCATCTCTATCTCAAAGAATGGTTTTGGTAACATATATGTAGTTGTGCTTACCTACAGGGAGGGAGATTTAGCTCTTCAGTCCCGCCTTTCAGTTAATGAACAGTAGCAGCCAACACCCACACATTGTGTCAGGAAGGCGGACAACCTGCCTGCTTTCATACCTCTCACTGTATTTCCCACTTTAAACTTCCCGTCACCTATGCCTCTCCTTCCTCTTAACCCCCCCCCCCCACCCCGAAAAAAAAAACTATGGTCACACCATTTTCAAGCAGTCAATCTAATAACCTGTCTTCTAAACTAATTGTACGTTAATGGTAACCATATAGTCCGTTTCCTCGAGTATTCCAAATGTCACCGAACTGAACAAATCCACAAGGGCCGTGATGAGGATTTGAACCTACGTCCGAGAGGATCCCAGACGCACCTTAACCCTTGTGGATTTGTTCATTTGATGCATCACACTATAGTGATTTCTGTGTGTGATGTCACTAAACTGTTACATATACTAAATTGCCCAAAGCTAATCTAACAAAGTCAATTTTGCTAGCCGCCTTGATTTTTAGTACTGTACATCAGTTTTTTGTGTACATCATTTACAGGTCAAAATTTACGGGTTATTCATGCCCATGCCACCTCTTGGGTCGCTTAATCTTTATCAATCAGGTCAAAATGCTATGTACTATTTGAGAGAACGAATTATAGCAGATGCGACTACTCAGAAAAGTAGCGGCTCACAAACATCCAGGTTTTTTGTGCATGGATATTTGTGACTCACCTAACTCATCAGATCGATGAGTTAGTTGAGTCGCTTGGATTGTATGTTTCTGGTTAAGGGATGGGGTTTTTTTAATAGAGCAGCAATTTGGACGTAGGTTCGAACCCTAATCACGGCCCTTGTGGATTTGTTCATTTACGGATACCAATCTCTCTAAAATACTACATACAGTATTAGAACAAATTAAAGCAGTGTAATATTGATCGTTTTCTATACATCGGCCTTGAAAAGTTAGGTGGGTTGCTAATACAATTCTTGTTATGCAAAATGAGAGGCATTTTTACATTTCTGGTTAGGAAAAATCAGCTGTATATACAGTATTGTATACGTTTCCGGTTAGGTGATTTAGAGAGGAAGTGAGATTTGTAGGGGATTGAGGAAGAAAGTGAGAATAGGAGGAATTGAGGGAGGAAGTGAGAGTTAGAGGCGATTGTATTGTGAAGGGCTTTTGTGGGAATTTTAGAGAGATATTGTATATGTGTATAGATTATCACTAATGGCTTTTATGGTCACTTCATTGGGTTTTATGGTTATTCTAGGAGCTGTTGTATTTACTCTAGGAATTTATGTTTACTGTAGGGCTTTTCTTGTTCGTTTCTAGATAGGGTGTTTCTTTTTAGTCTAGGGGGCCTTTAATGTTTGCTAAAGGGATTTTTGGTGTTCATTCTATGGGGGGCTATGATGCTTATTGTAGACCAGACCACACACTAGAAGGTGAAGGGACGACAACGTTTCAGTCCATCCTGGACCATTCTCAAGTCGATTGTCTCAAGTCGATTCTCAAGTACTTTAGCCACGTTATTGTGACTCATCGCCTGCTTACTGTAGTGATTATGTTCATTATATTGACTTGTCTTTGGTTTTCACATTCACGGTAAAGCCTTTCATGGTCACTCTAGGCAAAGGAAAAGATCATACATACTTGAGCGAGTTATCCTGCTATGGTTACTCATTTTCTCTTGTACGTTTTGTTTTTCTTCTCCATAGCTTTTTATCATGTTCTCTGTTATGTTTCCATAGTATTCTTTAATATGGCATGTAACCCTTGGTGCCTATGATATATTTATTTAAGCAAGAAGAGGAAAATAAATTTTTTAATGAAACATGTCAAAATGAAATTGAGGTCAAACTGTTTACATTCTTTTGCTTAGAATTGCACACATTTTAAGATCCCCCTTACCCCCCATATTCTTTTTGTTCGTGTGATGATGTCTCCTTGCCCCAGATACCGCACTAGGTTTCTGTCTTCAATAACAAACCACAGCCAGACGTCATCAAGTATTTACGTTTCCACTTAAGAAACCTGTACATTTTTCCTCAATCATGTCCATTACACAGTTTATGAGCTCTGAAGCACTACGAGGATGTCTGTAACAATGATCACCTTGGGCTGTGAAGTTTTGAAGCTCATAAATTGTTTAATAAATACAAAGCTACCATGATTGAGGAAAGACATACAAGTTTTGTAAATGGATATGTAACTGCTTGATAAATCAAACAGTATATCAATCAAGCCTATACCTGGATGTGGTTCTGGGAGTTGTTCTACTCCCCAAGCCTGGCTTGGGGCCAGGCTTGACTTGAGAGCTTGGTCCGACAGGCTGTTGCGTGGAGCGTATGGAGCCTGGTTGGTATAACTCAACAAGCTTTGTATAAAAACCAGCTTAAAGCACACGTTATTTCTTGATTTTCACTCCCCCAGTAATATATACATTAAGCCACATTCCAAAGAATAAGGCATATTACTTGCCCATGAAACTTTGATTTCATATAGGTACTGTACATTAATGGTTGTAACAAGACTTTGCATACAATTCAGTACTGTACAATACTATATTACATGATGTTAGCTTTAGATTTTTAGCTTTGATTTTCTTTATTAAATAAAGAAAGCTAAAATATCTTTACCTACATTGCAGTGAATGCATATTAGCTTATTTAATTTATCCATTAATAAGTATACTATATGTTTATAATTTCAATGTCGAGGATAGGAAGCCAGTACTCAAGGTCCCGTATAGCCAACTACAGACCTTAACCCAAGATGCAACTCACAACCGTCACCTATTTTACTGCTAGGTGAAAGGAAATGTGCCAAACTATCCATGCCCTGCCCGGGGATTGAATCCGGGCCCCTCGACTGTGAGCCGAGATGTGTTTTTACGTTGGCTTACAATTGCTAGCTTATAATCTACATATTACATTTAAGTTATTATATATTATATTTGTTTTATTATACAGCAACTAACCTGACTCAAATTAATGTTGAACACAGAACACAAAAATAACTATAGACTTTTCTGTTCTTACTAACCTGACTCAAATTAATGTTGAACACAGAACACAAAAATAACTAGACTTTTCTGTTCTGAGGTGGAAAGTTTTAAAAATGAGGCAAATTGTATACTGTAGTAAATTGTAAATTTATATTTTTTGTGCATTAGGACAATTGGAAAAGGAATTTGGTAATAAAATATAAATTCAGTGTAATCCTGCTTGAAGAGATTGGCCTATTTGGGACCAGACTTCTTAAAGCTCTCTGGAATTCTGGTTTTCTTATGTGTTCAACCAGGCTATTTATTATTGAATGGCCCTCCTTATTGTTACATTGTACGCTGATTTTATATTACAGATGCTATTGATACATAGTGTACATGTTATTCAGAAAATGTTCTTTTTTAAAACTAATATGTATGCTGTTGCCGTGCACTTGATTATATTTAAGCGGCATTGTCCATGCATCACCTTTCCAAGAATGGTATCACTTAAAAGCTAATTGCAGTTGATCAATTGCAAGTGACTTAAATGTAAGTTATTGTATATATGAAATTTATGTGTATTATTATTATTATTATTATTATGTATTATATCACTGTTTGATGTTTTTACAGATAACAAATTTTCCAGCATAAACTTTTATGAAAAAGTGATTTAGAGGTTTGCAGCCTATTTAACTCCTATCACACCTTCCAGCAAATTACCCTCTTAGGAACTTTCATGATTGTTATTAAAAATCCTTTCATTCTCTCTCTTCTGTATAAGGAACATGAGCATCAGAGAGGGTAAAGCTGGCAGGCGGAGTGATACTGTATGGTCCCACTTTAGCAAAAGATGGACAGACGAAAAACATTATGTTGTGATTTGTGTTCACTGTAAGCAAAGGGTTAGTGCTAAGGTTGACCGGCTGAGGAGGCACTTGAGGAAGTGTGTTCCATGTTACCATATCACAAAGCCTGATATAGAGGGAATGGAGGATTCCCTAATGGCCAGTACAAGCAGTAGTGATCCTCATCCAATATCCTCCGAGTGTCCCTCGGGTCTACCGAATGTAGACGCTTCATCCTCTCCGCTTTCTCCATCGTGGAAACTGGAAAATATTCTTATTGATAGTAAGGTTAGTGAGTGTCACTCATTCAAATCACTTGTTGGGATGAGCAAGTTGCTATACAAGCTTCCTGAGTCACATTACTGCCACTTTACTGCTTGGAACACCCTTCCTTGCTTCTATGATCACCGAGCACTAGGCTGAGTCGTGCAAGTGCAGGTGTTGCCAGCTTTTTGCTTCTGTGAGGGTTATAGGAATGCACTGTTAGATGCATCCTTGTGTGTTATTTATGGATTATGCGATGATTTTTACTTTTTTCAAGATCTGTATCATAATAAAATCACAGTGTTATTTAAATCCCAACACCTTAGTAGACATACCAGAAGTAGTAGGGGTGTAGATTATGAAACTGGCATTGATAATTTTAAGCTAAATTCCCAATGAATCTTAGATCCCTGTACAGTTAAAAGAAATTTACTGGACATTGTTCATCTAGATTTTTGTATGCTTATTACAAAAATTATTTATGATTAAAATTAACTGAAGACCAATTAGGCTATTGTGTAAATATAATTAAGACCCAGTTTTGTAAGTATAGTATAGTATTTTGTATTTTATTGTAATAAATTGTTGGATATTTAGTACTGTAGTTTCTATAAATTGATTGTTACCTGCACTTTGTAGTTTGTTATTTTATATTTTTTGTATTGTGTTTTGCATGCTTTGATTATATTGTGTAGTGTATGGATGAATATAAATGTAAACAAATTGTTTATGTTGGGTGTTGCTGTCATGAGCGTTCTCCAGCCGTGGGTGGATGAGTATGTGGCAATTGTTGTACAGCTTATTGTCTAGCTCACTTTTTTGTTATCACTCAAAATTTGATGCCGTCACCGCTTCTTTGCTGCTGTATGCTATTGGGACTCTGATTATGTGATTATTTTTTTGTCCATACTGTTATACTGTGTGTTTATTAGGCTGTTTTATGATTATTCTCTCCATTAGGAGTTTTGAAGATTATCTTGTTCTTGTTCTGCCCGCAGGATTCACCGCACTCCCCGTCCGCAATGGCGAACCAACAATACTGCCTCAAGTGGAACAACCACCAGTCAAACCTTTTGCGAGCCTTCGACCGCCTACTGCAGTCAGAGTCGTTTACAGATGTTACCTTAGCCTGTGAGGGCAAGTCACTTAGGGCACACAAGGTTTGTAAAGACTGTATACAGTTTTCTTTGGTTATAGTTAGGCTCCCTGGAGTCTAATTGGTATTCATTTCAATATGTATTACTGTCCTTGTTATCTGTTACATTGAGTAGGCAGAGAATGTAACAGTACATGTGTACATGGACAAGGCTGCTCGCAATCTGATCTAACAGTCTGGTTGACCAGTCCAGCAACGATTAGGCTGGGTCGAGGACCGGGCCGCAGGGACGTTGAGCCTGAAATCATTGCAAGATATATCATATGTGAAAGTGACAACATTTTGGTTTGTTCTGGATCCTTATCAAGGTATGATTGAGTAAAGCTAAAGCTTAGTAAACTGAATTAACTTAAAAGGTTCTTGCGTTAGGCTAAAAAAGAATATGTGATAGACTAATTTTTTCAGGTCTACGTTATATTTTTCTTGTCTTTTATCACGTGCAGTTTGTCATTTATTATTATTATTATTATTATTATTATTATTATTATTATTATTATTATTATTATTATTATTATTATTATTATTATTATTATTATTATTACTGTACTTTCAACTGAAAATTTTACCACATTTCATCAGTATCCACTAATTCCTGTACAGTTCTGTTCATACTTGTGTACATGTTGAAACTGTTCATACATTTAAACAAAAACATTCAATTTACTTCTTAATTTGAAAAAAAACTGTTATATTTAATTTCTAATATCAGTTTAATGCAATAGTGAGCACTCACATTTAATTATGGTAATAACAAACTTGTTTGCATTATATAGTTTGTATATAATGTGCAGAACATGTTTCATTATATGTGCTGAATGTTTCATTATACTGGATGTGCAGAATGAAAGCACAGGAACATGATTTATCTATGGATGTGCAGATTTTATGACATCAAACAGCCTTGATATTTCAACAACATATTAAGGTATTAGTGAGACTGATAATAATAATAATAATAATAATAATAATTTTTAATGTCTGCAAAAGGAAGCCTGTGCATAAATATACTTCAGGTTTGAATTGAGATCCCCCCTCAATGAAATTACAAGAACGTTATATGTACCTGAGAAAATATTGAAGCTATACATTGGGATTTATCCCTCACCCCTGAACACCATGGGCACATCATAGTCTAGTCGGTGTAGTTACAGGATGAGAGCTACGCTCGTCGTGTCCCATCTTCCCAGCACTCTTTCATATAACGCTTTGAAATTATTGAAAAGGCGTTATTTGACAGAGTGCTGGGAAGACAGGACACCACGAGTGTAGCTCTCATAGTCAGTGTACTCACCTAATTGTGCTTGCGGGAGTTGAGCTCTGGCTCTTTGATCCTGCCTCTCAACCGTCAATCAACAGATGTACAGGTTCCTGAGCCTATTGGGCTCTATCATATCTACACTTGAAACTGTGAATGGAGTCAGCCTCCACCACATCACTTCCTAATGCATTCCATTTGTCAACCACTCTAACACTAAAAAAGTTCTTTCTAATATCTCTGTGGCTCATTTGGGCACTCAGTTTCCACCTGTGTCCCCTAGTGTGTGTGCCCCTTGTGTTAAATAGCCTGTCTTTATTTACCCTATCGATTCCCTTGAGAAAGTGTGTGTGTGTGTGCGCGCGCCTGAGAAGTTCAGGGATGTCGGGGTTCAATCCCATCATATGGCTTCAGTATTTTCACACAGTTGAAATAATGTTTACATTGTTTGGCAGATCATGTTCTGGGGGGGAGCATGATACTGAATACCAATAACTTGCCTGGGCATAAATCCCATGTCTGACAGGACAAAAAATGTAAACATGTATACTCTATTGCAGCAAAGGTTTGGGTATGTTAGAAAAGATGTTTGGATGTGTTCTTTTGCAATGTGAGGTGGGATTTTGTCATTAGGTTATGTGTTGATCCATAGCTTTTTAACAGTACTGTATGTTGTATATGATCTGGCAACCTATTGTCATATTGTTTTCTGTGATAAAATATAATTCATTACTTTATGTAACGGTACTGTATACCATAATTGCAGATAAATTTAGTATCTTGAATGTCATTTGGACCATGAACATTTCGAGTGCTCCACAAATAGATCAGAAAGTAAAAATATTAATTATTGTAATTTAAAATACAGGTAAATTCATAATGCAGATAATACTGTATTAGTTTGCAGGCTGTAGCTAACAATTGCTTCACTAAAGAGACCCTCACCAGGAGAAGCTGGCCCCAGGCAGGGCTGTGCAATTAGAAAAGTTAAAACTGGTCGTTTGTAAATATGAAGTCGGTGATAAACAACAATCCTTCACCATAATATTGTTCAGTTTACATTTAATAAGAATTTTGGCTTAATAATAATAAATGTTTATTCGGTAAAAGTACATACATTCAAAATGAGTCACAAACAGAATGTTAGATTTCTAGATATACATATACATACTATGTATGTATATGGTACATATCTATGGTACATACTGTGCCCAAAGCTACTAATACGCACAGCATTTCGGGCAAGTTTAAAAACAACGGAATGGTGATGCAAAACGTAAAGACTGACAATGTTTGAAAATATGCATTTTGATATTAGCAATGTGAAGTGAGCTTTTGGATGTAAATATTTTAGAGGAAACGTAGAGTGGATAAAAGTACTACACCAGTATATAACACTATTAGTAGAGGGGGACAGGAGGCCTATACTTAAGCTTATAAAGGTCCCCCTAGGCCAACTACTAACCTTCCTTAACATGCAACCCACAACAGTTGCCTAACTCCTGTGTACCTGCAGTACTCTTTTTTTTTTTTTTTCTTGATGTTTTCTCTCTATTTACTAATGTTTCCCTTGTTGATGATCTCTCTTTCCTTAGTCAGAAGGCGACTGAGGGCCTTCTTCATCTCCAGCTCCCCCACTGACGTCTTCCTCGAACTCATCAGACTCTGTATTGACTCTAACTCCTTCTCTTTCAACGGTAATACTTCTCTCAAACTTTCTGTGTCACTATGGGCTCCCCTCTCTTCCCTGTTCTTGTCAGTCTCGATGTGAAATACTTCAAAACCATTCTTCTTTCCTCTATTGATACTCGTCCCTCTCTCTGGCTTCGCTATGTTGATGTTTTTGCTTTATGGCCTTATGATTTTAGACTTATCCAGTCATTCCTCTCCTCTCTTTAACAATCTGACTCCTTTCATCCATTTCAAAGTTGAATGGGAATCTAATTCCCTCCTTCCTTTTCTTGACATTCATGTTCACAGCTCTTTGTCTGGGTTCTCTTTCTCTCTCTACCGCAAACAAATGCATAGTGGTGTGTACATTCACTTCTTTTCCTACCATCCTCCTTCTGTTAAGAAAAGTGACCTAGTCTCTCTTCCTCCACGCTCTACACATCAGTGACCCTCAGTTTCTTGATTCTGAAATTTCCTTTATCTACACATGTCTCTTGCCTTGGTTACCCCTTACATTTTATCTACTGTGCCTATTTTCAAGCTAAACAAAAAAATTTTCATCCTAAATCTGCTTCCAGTGCTACTAGCACTGTGCTCTGCCTTCCCTTCATATCTGAACTCAATACTCTTACTAATACCCTTCGTGCTCTTGACATAAAGCTTGCCTTTCGTCAAACTAACACTTCGTACTAATCTTGTTCACAATTCTCCTGATTCTAATGCTTCTGGTGTCTACTCTATTTCCTGCTCGTCTTGTCCTATCCAATACTATAGGGAAACTGGCCATACACTTAATGACAGACTTGAGCAATTCAAAAGAAGCGTGAAGTCTGCAGACACAAACAATGCTCTCTTCTGTCATGTTAGGGATTCCAATCATCCTATTGATTGGTCTTCTTCTAAAATAATCTTTCCTGCCTCTACTCTTCACAGACGCCGTCTCGTCAAATCAGCTCTGATACACAACCTTCCCAACATGAACTGGAGTCCTGACTTTATTGCTGTTGACTTCCCTTTCACAGTACATACTCAAATGTTCTAAACCTTCTAACAAACGTGATCTAACATAAGCCTTCCCTTTCCTTTTCTCTTTCTCTTTCTATTACTTTATCTTTTGTTCCCATTTACTCCTTTTATTACCCCCTACATACCCTTTATTACAGCTATCTTTCGCATTGCTTTTACGTTCGTCTAAGTTTTCCTCCTCCTCCTCACCTCTCTTGCCTTACTTATGCCCATGCCTTTCTCGTCTCATCACATTTGACTTGATGATGGTTCAGGACGGACTGAAACGTCTTTTCATCTTCTAGTGTGTGGTTTGGTCAACATATCTACAGTATTTACTGCTAGGTGAACAACCATAGGCATAGAGTGAAAGGAGGCATAGGGTGAAAGGAAACTTTGCTTAAACACTTCTGTCTTGCCTCAGAAATTGAACCTCAAACTTTTCAGCTGTAATCCGCCTGTATTTACCAAATGGAGCAATAGGTTTGTATTTTAAAGAGGAACTTGTATGCACAGAACTCTTAAACTTCACAAATGAGATGGTGGAGGTACAGTACTTGAATCAAAGTAGAGAACAAAATCCTTCAATACACAGAGAGATCAAATTAACATGATGTATCAATGAACAAATCCACAGGAGCGTTAATAAGGGTTGGAACCTCTCTTTACCATGTCGTGGTACAGTTGACTAGAGCACGCCTGGGAACATCCAGTGCATAGGCTCGAACCCTCATCAAGCCTCCTGTGGATTTGTTCAGAAACATTATTACTGTAATACAGGCATACCTCAGTTTAAGAGTTTAATTGGTTCCTGGAGACGCCTCGTATTCCGAAAACTCGCATATATTAATCTGCAGACAATGGTTATCTTGAGATAATTTCGGGGCTTAGTGTCCCCGCGGCCCGGTCCTCAACCAGGCCTCCACCCCCCAGGAAGCAGCCCGTGACAGCTGACTAACACCCCGGTACCTATTTTACTGCTAGGTAACAGGGGCATAGGGTGAAAGAAACTCTGCCCATAGTTTCTCGCCAGCGCCCGGGATCGAACCCGGGACCACAGGATCACGCGTCCA